AGTCCTGGCAGAAAAGTCTGTGAGGCTTGAAGTAGAGCTGTGGCTCAAGTGGTAAAGTGCAAGCCTTAAGCTAAAAAGCTCAGAGACAGCACTGACGCCCTGAGTTCAAGCCCCAAGACACATACACACATAGCAATAAAGTGCAAGCCTGTGTTCAAGCCCCAGGACACACACACACACACACACACACACCCAAGACACACACACACACCCAGGACACACACACACACCCAGGACACACACCCACACCCACACCCACACCCACACCCACACACACACACCCACACCCACACACACACACACTAAAGCTTGCCCTGATAGTAAATATCAGTAATCCTAGCTCTTCAAAGATTGATAAACTCAAGGCCATACAAGTTCATGAAATAAGCAAGACCCTCTCTCATTAAACCAAAACCATACATAAAAACCCATCATATGTTAATATAAATTTTTCATAGAAATAATTATACTTTCAAAAAATAGGCATTTTAAATCTCTTTAATGTATGGTTTAAGACAACTGGATTCTTTTTTTTTTTTTTTTGCCGGTTGTGGGCCTGAACTCTGGGCCTGGGTGCTGTCCCTTGGCTCTTCAGCTCAAGGCTAGCGCTCTACCACTTGAGCCATAGTGCCACTTCCGGCTTTTTCTGCTTATGTGGTGCTGAGGAATCGAACCCAGGGCCTCATGCATGCAAGGCAAGCGCCCTACCACTGAGCCACCTTCCCAGCCCCAGACAACTGGATTCTTGTGCCTGCTTGTTTTCAATCTACTGTAATAGCATACATCAGTAGCCTCTGGAAAAATGTATTGTACTTTCTTGAAGAGGAAGAGGGTGAAAAGGTATTATGTACTCCCAGCTTCCATTAAAGTGCCTTACAGAATATCCTAGGGTTTTCCTAGATCATACTCTGAGAACCATTGAACTAAAATGTAAGATTATCATGTATTCATTCATTCATTCATTCTTTATTGTGCCTGTCCTAGAACTTGAATTCAGGGCCTGAGCACTGTCTCTGAGGGTTATTGGTTTTTTATTTTGTTTTTGTTTTTTAGCCAGTCCTGGGTCTTGCACTCAGGATGTGGGCTCTGTCCCTGAGCTTCTTTTGCTCAGGGCTAGCACTCTACCACTAAGCCACATTCTCAGCCGCCCTGAGCTTTTTCACTCAAGGCTAGCACTCTACCCCATGAATCACAGCTCCATTTCCAGATTTTTTTTTTTTTGTAATTTAGTGAAGATAAGGTTCTCATGGACTTTCCTGCCTAGGTTAGCTACAAACTAATCCTCAGATCTTGGGCACACACACACATATACACACACACACTTAACCTCATTGCAATTCAGCTTCTTCTGGAAGAACTAGGATTTAGCTCCTGGAAGCCTCACTCTTAATTATCAAGTTGTACTACAAATTAGTGTCACACAAGCAAATGAGGTTTATTTCACTTACACACACACACACACACACAGTCTTCAAAAGAAACATTGGCAAGGAAGTCCATGAGACTATTATCTCCAATAAAATCAGAAAAAGCTGGAAGTAGTGTTGAGGCTCAAAGAGTGCTAGACTTGAGCACAAAGAGGCTCAGAGACAGTACCCTAGCCCTGAGTTCAAGCCCCAAAGACCAGCAAAAAAAAGAAAAGGAAAGGAAAAGAAACACTGGAAGAAACTTTATATGGCTTGACTTACATGACCTGACTTTTTGGAACTCATGAAGAAATGGCAAGTTCCTACATCTGGGGTAACAGTGGCATCAGAACCAGGAGATTGGGGTACCAATCATGCAGCAAGCTAACATTGTGGGTAGATGGAAGCAAGAAACCAGGAAGGCAGAAAGTTCTTGTGTGATCTGCATTCTAGACACACAGGCAATGGGAGGGTGGAGCGGTGATGTAGCAGAAACTATTAAATCTAGTCAAGTTTTATTTGAGTTTTTTCACTGGATTCTTTTTTTCCTTCCCCCAAAATGCTATACAGTGATAGTCAGAGCCCTCCAAGGCATGGTTCTTGAGACATGCTGCCACACTCTGACATACCACCCTCCAGTTTCCCACACACTCTATTCCCACTTAGGGCTCTGGAGTATCCTAAGTGCTTAGTAAATGTATAGTCCTGTCTACCCCTACAAAGTAGATTACCACATCTTTTCAGTGCTCCTGCCTATAGCCCAGCACAGTTAGTATAGTTCTCATTATTTTTTTTAATTGAGTAACTGTAACAAAGCTCCAATAGACTCTTCTCCCTCTCAAACAAGCCTTCCCCCGTTACTAACATTACATTAATAAAGTACACTTCCTTCTGTTACAATTAATCAACATTGATAAGTTAACTGAAGTCTGTAATTTATTCAATTTCTCAGTTTTTTGGTGTTAATTTTTATTTTTGCTTTTAAAAAATCGTGGTAGACTGAGGGCATAGCTTAGGAGCAGAGTTTGCTGGGGCAAGCTCAAAACTCTTGAGTTCAATTCTCAGTACAAGTATAGAAAAGGAAAAAAAGGTTAAAAAATAATAGATCTCATTCTCTACCTATCTCTGTCTCTTGCTTTTTGCTTTTTTTTTTTTGGAGACAGGGTCTCATATGTAGTCCAGATCTTGGTTTGAGCTGCTTAAAATTCTTCTGCCTCAGTCTCTCAAATACTTGGGATTACAGGCATTCACCACCACAACTAGCAAAAGCTCTCATTCTTTAACTGGGACATTGTATTTAGATAAACCTATTAAGGAGCCTCCCAAGTCCCTTGATATGACTGAAGGAACTCAATTTTATTTTATTTAATTTTATTTCTTAATAGATCATAACCCCGACACTCTACATGAAATTAGTCAAGGGGCTGGGAAGGTGGCTCAGTGGTAGAGAGTTTGCCTTGCATGCATGAGGCCCTGGGTTTGATTCCTCAGCACCACATAAGCAAAAAGAAAAAAGCCAGAAGTGGCACTGTGGCTCAAGCGGTAGAGCGCTAGCCTTGAGCTGAAGAGCTGAGGGACAGTGCTCAGACCCAGAATTCAAGCCCCACGATCAACAACAACAACAAAAAGAAATATACTACCCATGGTCCCCATAAAATGAGAAGCCTACAATGACATCCTCAACAACAAAAAAAAAAACCCTCAAGATCTGAAGTTAGAGCTATATGGTATTAAGAAGCTTATATTTGGCTTCTCTGTATGAGCTCTCTAAAGTGCTCAATTCTGGACATAGTACACATTGAAACACCATGATTCCTGAAAACAGCTCCATAAAAAGAGAATGCACTGTTTTTAAAACCTTGATAACAACATGTTACTTAGTGCTTCAGAATGCCATTCCTGCCTGACCACCTTAAATATTTGTGGTTTCAATCTGGCAGCTTCTCTGAAATCAAACACATACACTTTCTTTAGTGTAAGTCTATTCACTGCAACAGCATATCATTTTGGGAACAGGGAATTCAGAAAACCATAACTGCATAACTAAATTCCAAAAAAAACCCAAAACAAAACAATTGAGCTTTTGATTCCATACCTACTTTTGAAGAATCTCTGCTGCTCCATTTTGGCCATCCAAAACCAAGTCAGGTAGAAAAAGTGGGAAAAGCAGCAACAATGAAATAGCAATTTAACTGCTGGCAAGAGCAATAGAAAAAGCTGAGAACAGAGCTTAGACCTTTGATTCTTCAGGTCTGGAGCAGCCCTAGAACCCATGTGGGAGCAAGAGGCTCTTGCATTGTAGACTACACTTTTCTCCGTGTTTCTATTAGTAGCCTCTGACAATTTTATACCCTTGTGAATGGATCTTTTTAAGGGAGAAATGCAACCATTCATCTCCTCTGGAGTTAAGTTTCAAAGCGGGTTGAAGCTGGGCACTGGTGGCTCATACCTGTAATCCTAGCTACTCACGAGACTGAGATCTGAGGATTGCAGTTCAAAGCCAGCCTGGGCAGGAAAATCTATGAGAACCTTATCTCTACTTAACCACAGTGTGCACACATGCAAACACACACACACACACCTAGAAATGGAGATGTAGCTCAAGTAGTACAGCATTAGTCTTGAGTACAAAAGCTAAGGGACAGTGCCCAGGTACGTGTGCGCACACACGCACACACACACACACACACACACATGCACACGCACACACACAGAGTTGAAAGGTGACAGCTGGCAGAGAACTCCCAAAAAAAAAAGAATGTGTAGAGTTACTGAGTTCCCTCAGTGAAACTCTTAAGTAGAAAGACATTCTTATAGGCATACATTGTACCTCTGTAAACACACAAAACAAAAGGAAAAAGAAAAGTAATGGGAGGGAGAGAAAGGCAAAGAGTAGGAGACAAATAATGAAAGTCACACATGCCTACAGCACACACTAATAGACATACATAATAGTCCATGTTCAGAGAAATTAAGAGTCATATTTTTCTCTGCTCAGAACTTCTAGCTTGGCTTTCCATAATAAATAAAATATTGACAATGAAGAGTTTTGTAACATTACTCTGATTCCTCTAACAAGGAAAAACTCAGTATATAGAATGAAAAATTTTCTATGTCCTCAAAGAAACTTTAAAAATCGATGGACTTGGTATCACCTCCCAGGACCTAGAGACATCACAAAGAAATGTCCAACTCATTAACCTGGCTCCTGATGTGGGCAAAAACTCTATAGGGGATAGCAGTGGGACCATGTCACTGGAGACCCCTGACTTCCTTTTAATGCCCACAGGTGGCACAACACTGCTTGTATGGAATCCATGACTCTGATAGAGCTCGAACCTCCCGTAGTAAAATGGCAAGGCCACACAGTAGCAGAACACAGCAGAATAGTAAAATATCAGCAGTTGAAATGGCTTCCAGTTCTAAGACCAGAAACAAGGTTCAACTTGTAGGCCAAATAAAACTTTCCCAGGTATGACCATACTCCAGCAAGTGGCCCTACAAGGATCATGACAGGGACATAGTTACCCAAGCTCCATGCTTTCTAAAGACTTCAGCACACAAGAGAAAACTACTGAATGGGAGACAACTTACCGCCTTTCCCCATTGTGCTCAAACTTGATTCTGACGTCACTCTGCCAAAAGGAATGATAGACAGGTTAGAGGGTTCTTGGGCACAAGTTATTCCAGTCATTTGCACATTCGTCTTGGGAAGTCCTTTGGTGACACTGGGTAAGCATCACCACTAGGCAAACACTTGATGGTTTTTGGTCCAGTTCCTCCACAGAGAAAAGTGTTCTCTTTTCAATGACTTATAACTTCCATTTTAAACTTTGGGCAACAGAACTCTTGGGGTAAGATTCCAAGATGATTGCTACAACCCGGTTGTTATGCTTTTACATGGCAACTTTCTGACCTCATATATTCTCCATTTCTACAACTGACTCTGGAATTGCTCCTACCATATCACCTCCTGAGCGGGATACCTTTCCTTCTTCCTCAGCTTTATCCAAAGTGACCACTCTAAGTAAAATCTGGGAGGTCAAAGATCATGTTTATCCTCTTGTATATCCCTAGTACTAAGCAAAGAATATGATATGTAATATTTTGTTAAATGGCTGAATGAATTGAAGAACAGAACTGTCGTAAATGTTTAAATTAAGGGGAAATAAGCAGGATGCAGTGCCTTGAACCTGTAGTCCCAGATCCAGGAGGCTGAGACAGGAGGATAGCTAGAGCTCAGGAGTTTGAGGTCAGTTTGGCAACACAGCAAGATCAATCTCTTTTTGAGAAGAGAGAAAGAGAGAGACAGAGAAAGAGACAGAGACAGAGAAAGAAGAGAAGAGAAGCTGGAATTCAGGATGTAGCTCATTACTACAGCACTTGCTTAGCATTCATGAGACCCTGGGTTGATCCCCAGCACTATAAAAAAATTTTAAAAAGAAAAAAAGAAAAAGAAGGAGAAATAGAATTGTTAGATTTTTCTTAATGAAAGAGACATTATTAAAGATTAAATGAGCAACCTGAGAGGGCTTAAGAAAATGACAAGAGTTGTTTTTTATTTGGGGGGAGGGTCCAGTCGTGGGCTTGAACTCTGGGCCTGGGTACTGTCCCTCAGCTCTTCAGCTCAAGGCTAGTGCTCTACCACTTGAGACACAGCGCCACTTCCGGCTTTTTTCTTTTTGCTTATGTGGTGCTGAG